CTAATAAGAGTGAGATGGATAATTTCTTAAAGAAACTTAATCTTCCAAGAATTAATATAGAGAAACTAAAAAGCCTAAATGCTCCTTTCCTATTATCAGAAATAATAGATGTAATAGATAACCTAAAACCAAATAAGGCGCCAGGCCCGGATGTTTTTTCTGCTATATTTTATAAAACTTTTTCTAAGACTATTACCCCTATCCTCTTGGAGATGTTTATTAACGTTTCTATAGAGTCCCCCTTACCGAAGGAGATGATGTTGGCCTTAATAATTCCAATACTTAAGGTAGACAAAGATCCTACACTTATTACTAACTATAGGCCTATATCTCTAATTAATATAGATATTAAAATATTTTCTAGTATTTTGTCTAACCGACTTAAAGGGGTTATAGGAGACTTGATTGAGGCGGATCAGTCTGGCTTTGTGAAGGGGAGAAGTACTACTGACAACACGCGTAGGATATTTAATTTAATACATAGACTAAAGGAGAATCAAATGGGAGCAGTTATTATGGCCCTCGACGCCAAGAAGGCCTTTGACAGGGTCAGTTGGAGTTTCCTTGACTCTGTCCTGGGCCAGTTCGGTCTAGAGGGACAATTCAAGAATAAAACTATGTTGTTATATAAGAACTCTTCAGTGAAAATAAGTAATCCCTATTTTGACTCGAATCCTTTTGAAATAAAAAATCGCACGAGACAGGGGTGCCCTTTGGCCCCCTTCCTATATGTCCTCACAATAGAGCCTTTAGCTATTCTGATTAGACAGAATAGCAACATAAAGGGAGTTCAGTTACAGGATGGCAACGTTAAGATATCTCTATTTGCGGATGATATCCTCCTTACTCTGGTTGAACCACTGGTTTCAATTCCATGTTTATTGGATGATATCTCTATGTATGGTAATCTCTCTAACTATAAGGTTAATTTTAAAAAATCTAAAATTTTACCTTTTTTCTTAACTAAGACTCAGAAAGACTTCCTGTCTTCCCGTTATAATTTGGTATGGTCAAATGATATAATCGACTATCTGGGGATTAAAATATCTTTTAATACCAATTGAGCGATCCAAATTAATTTTGATGGCCTATTCAATGAATTGCAATTTCAAGTTACAAAATGGAAGAGATTGGAATCTTCCTGGATAGGAAGAATGAATATGACTAAAGCATTTTTAATACCAAAACTTTTATACCTTTTTAGGGCGATCCCATATAGAATAGGGATAGGGATTCTTAATCGTTTCCAAAGTTTGTTTTCTAGTTATATTTGGCTGGATAAGCCACCGAGGATAGCGTTTGAGACTATGCGTAGAAGCTATCTGAAAGGTGGTATGACATTTCCGGACGTGGTTAAGACTCATGATTCTTGTAAAGCAACCCATCTACTGCTATGGTTGAATCCGGCTCAGTGTCCTCCTTATTCATGGTCTAAACTTGAACAGGAATGTAGTCCTAGGTTTAAGTTATCTAATTTAGTGTGGCTAGGCCTTCTGAATTTGGCTGTATTAGAACCAGAACAGTTTTCTAACAGAATTCTGGGTGACATGGTATTAACAGCTAAACTTTTAAATAAGAAATTCAATTTGGAAGGTAAACTACTCTATGATACTCCTATAGAGGTGCTCCAACATGCTATGCTTGATTTAAATATTAATCCTTGGGTGCACCTAGGAATAAGAAAGATCGCTGATATATGCGAGGACAATAAACCGGCCTCATTTGTATTTTTACAATCAAAATATAATTTCCCATCTAGAGACCTGTTTCAATATCTCAGGATTAACATTTTTTTATTATCTAAATCGATAAAGTCCATCAAATTATTCTGGTATTGGCAATTAGTCAAAAGAAGGGAGGAATCTCGTTTGACTCCATAGAACAGGTCTCTCACGTTTCACCATTTACTAAGTGGGAGACGGATATTGGGAAATCTTTTACCCTTACAGAGTGGACTAAAGCCACAATGTTGGTAAAAAGATGCATGCATAATGTATCCCTGGTCTAAACCCACTTTAAGCTATTATATAGATGGTACCTGGTATCGGTTAGACTACATAAGTTATCAACAATCCATTCAAAAGATTGTTGGAGATGTGGGAAGGAAGAAGGTACCATGTACCATATTTGGTGGGACTGTCTGGAGCTTAACAATATCAAAACACAAATGTTGGATCTATTAAACTTTATATTTGATGATACTATAGAAATTAGTCCCCAACCATTTCTATTTAATATTGGTTTTCCTACACAAGATAAGAAGTGAATATATCTTTTGACCCATATCTTGTTTGCAATTAAAATTAATATTGCCAGGGCTTGGAAATCACGTATCCTTCTGGCTTGGCAACAGATATTGAAGTTTCAGCATAGAATGGAAGTAAATTCCTTCCTTAATCCCTGCACTAGGAATTTGAATGTGCTATGGTCTCCTTGGACTTCCAAATTCCCTATGATTTAGTAAAAGGTTTAACTTAAGCCCGCCTCTCACCAAAGGCTAAGAATATTTATATATATTTTTTGTTTTGTTTCTGTGGGGCGGGGTTTAATGTGAAGCAATATTGTAATGTTTCAGCCCTTAATGTATTTGGCAATTCATTTACACACTGTATAGGGTTATATGCTTATATGTGTATTGTATTAGTCTGTATAAGATCTTATAAGGTTGTATATCTATTATGTATTCTATAGGGCTGTATACTTTTGTGTATTTATTGATATTTATACAGTGTTTTTAGACAAACAGTGTTGCAATATGGAAAACTTTAAATAAAATAAATATAATTAAAAAAAAAAGGTTTGCCGCTTTATGCAGTATAACTCCACCCCATTAGCCTCACTTATTTTTACAAAGCAACATCATTATTAGACATACTGGTAGGACATATTTCACCCAGTCAATGAGAGGTGAATGTAAACTGAGTTACTGACATAACCAATTACTTAAGACAATCGCTGTCATAACTGACATAAGCCAATCACTGTCCTATCATTATCTACTCCATTTCTGTTTAGCATGTCTTTGAACTACTATACAGAGGGCAGAGATTGGCTGTGGGGCAGAGTCAGTCCAGCAGCTCAACTCACATTGATTTCCCATTGAAAGAGCAACAGTGCTCTCCTCCCAATCAGGAAGACATTTTGTGCAAAGTTGAGTTGTAGTTAAAGGGGTGTAGAAAACTGATTTAAAAAAAAATATAAAATAAATATATATATATATATATATATATATATATTTAGCAAAACTAAATTTGAACAGAGGGAAAAAGAAGTGCCATTTAAATGTTAAAGTCCTGTCAATTGCAACTGTGTTTATATATATATAGTAATAGTTGGCTTTGTTTTACAGTGCTTATACTTGCCTATATCTGGTCTAAGGCATCTTGCCATAGTAATTTAATCTAAAGCCTTGAATTCCGTTATTACGCATGATTCATTGGAACCAGAAATGCTTTTTTTCCTCATCCAGTTATCTTACCACAGATCAATCATATTCTTTGGCTAACCTAAATTATCTGCATCTCTAGACTGCCCACACAGCTTTGCAGTATTACATAACTATTTAAAAGTCACCTGTAATAGTATCCTGTCACAGTTCAGTTTCTGAAGTAAATGGTTTGAATTGTGTGGGAGTCATTGCAGACCTGCCGCTACATGGCTGAGTGCTTATAGACTGGATGTCACAGAAACATTGCTCATAAAATGGTAATTGCAGAGATAATAGCTGCTGAGCCAAAGATAAGTCATTTTTACAATGCATTTGTTCTCATTCCTTTTTTAACATACATTGTAGGATCTGTCTGTACCTCTGCTAATGAACAGTGATTAATGTGATTCACAGATCTCTTTCCAAATTCTTCCTTGTGGACACATAAGAGGTGGTGACACCTTGACCTCAAACAACTGATATAAATGTCAACTAAATGAAGAACAGCTCTGTCTAGAAAATTTGGATTAACATTTAGATTCACAATGGGAACTCAGTAACCAGTAATATGAATATATATATGTGACGAGACCAATCTCGCCACTGTGCATTGGAAGAGCCTGGTTGCCTGCCTGCTGCCTTTTGACTATGGACCGGCATTTAAATACTTTATTTTCCTATGCAGAAAGGTCTATTCCTGTATTTATGCCCTGGCGTTCAGTATATTCTCGGATTTACTGAATGAACTCATTTAACCCAGATAGCTATGCCATGGAGCCTATTCGTGTAATAAAAGACTTTGGCTCCATGGCGATTGAACTGTATGTGTGTGGTCTGAGCGCCATTCAGTATTAATGTGCGCTCAGACCTAAGCTATCTGGGCATATGTTGCATGTCTGTATTTTATGTCATAAATGTAACCTTGTGTATTTTATTCTATTTTACTGTCTTTTTACTGCCATGTGCTTAATGGAGTTTTGCCTCTGTCCTCGGAGATAATTGGATTACTTCCCAATTATCTCCAGGATAGAAGACTCTGTGGAACTGGTTTTGGGCAGAAAAGCCATGCTTCATTTGGTGCTGCTTGACCCTCAAAACGGAGCCTTGTCTCGTTCTTGGGGGGATTTATTGTATGCTGTTCCAGTTTGACTGCTAAGAGTGTAAACCTATTCGTATGGTTTTTCCTATTCGGCTGTTTATGGCATTCATATGGTTTCCTATTCGGTGGATTGATGTTCTGCAGTAGCTGTGCCTGTGTCTCTGGAAGGGAAGATCTACTAAACGGTGGTTTAACCCTTTTATGCCTGGGGGTGCCATTACAATATATATATATACAGTTGCAAGAAAAAGTATGTGAACCCTTTGGAATGATATGGATTTCTGCACAAATTGGTCATAAAATGTGATCTGATCTTCATCTAAGTCACAACAATAGACAATCACAGTCTGCTTAAACTAATAACACACAAAGAATGAAATGTTGCCATGTTATTATTGAACACACCATGTAAACATTCACAGTCTCTCACCCACCCTGGAACCACGACCAGGATCCAGCTCCCAATGGGTGAACCTCTCCTAAATCCAGAGAGCGTAGCAGGAACAAATCAAGCTCTTACAAGAGTTTACTCTGGGGAGTAAGTGATTATAGCAATCCCCAGAGTGTAGGTATCCCTTCCCCCAAGCATGAGCCAAGGCTTCAAGAAAGGTGCAAGTAGGTCTGGTTTATTGAGGGCTACCTGCCCGGTATTTATGCAAGTGTCCACCAGGTGGACACTCCCCTAGAGGACCTGATGGAACAATGGGACACATATTGTATATTAGCCAATCACAGACAATACAAACAAAACACTCCCACAGTGACATCACAATCAAATTATCACAATCAAATTATCTCTCAGGACAGAGGCAAGACTCCATTAACCTCATGGTTACAAAAAGACATAAAATTACACAATGTTACAATTACTACATAAAACATATACATGCAACATATCCCCAGATAGCTTAGATCTGAGCACACATTATTACCGAAGTGCGCTCAGATCACATACATATAGTTCAATCGCCATCGTCTTTTCCATAGTCTTTTGTTACACGAATAGGCTCCATGGCACAGCTATCTGGGGTAGCACTACTCACATAATGAAAGTCCCGAACGCCCTGGCAGAAATACACAAATAAACCTTTCTGCAGGGTAAAATACAGCTATCAGCACAGGGGCCATAGTCGGAAGGCAGGAGGCTAGCCAGTAGTCCCCTCCAGGCACAAGTGGCGAAGGGCACTTGGTCACAATAAATATATATATCATGGAATGTAAAGCCAGCACTTTCTTTCATAAGCAGGGACCACATATGATAAATTGTAACTTTATGCCACTTTTTTTTCACTTAAGCATGATGTGAACACACACCATATCACACACTAGCACTTTATATTCCTGACTTTATAAATCAACACTATTGGGTAACAATAATTTTATGCGCAGATATACACTATAAAGACCTTAGAATGCGATGATTGCCAACCATGATTCTTTATCATGCTCTTAACTATATATTTCCTTACACCTGCAATTTGTATTTTCACTACTTATACAAAGAGAGTGTTGCGGCCACTCACGCAATGTTTGTATATACATCACTATGGTAACAAGGTACCGAGCACGGAACGGCATTAGGTCACTAGGGAGTGGATCTGCATGGCATGCAGGTGCACAGAGGGGATCCTGACACTCCAACAAATGTGATTTGTGTAAGGTAGGTTTGTCTTGTCCTATATATAGTCGATTGGTTACTTTGTTTGTTATTATGTCCTAAAGTAAGTTTGTTGTACGAACTGAAACATTGACTACAGGATTTTTACCTGGATTGAATTCTGGATTAAATTATTCTCAACTTGACAAGATCTCGAATGCTGGCTTTATATTCCATGGTATAAATTGTGCAGCCGAGCACCGGGCAAGGAAGACAGGGAGGCTGGAGTGCAAAACTCTATGGAGTGTGTGTGTTTGCTTGTGTGTGTGTGTGTGTGTGTGTGCGCATGCTAAGGGCTAAAGCTACAGCTAGGGTTTAGGCAGCACCAGAACTTGTCCTCCCAATAATGATATGTTGGTAAACAAGAAAAGGAGACATACATAAAGATCTAACAGGAAAGATTTCAATCAATATGGTTTGAGCTGCTACACAGGAATAACTTCCATAATTTTTGTGAAAATGGAATTGCATGTCTCAGCCCTGCCTGAAACGAGAGACCATGTCACTGCACTAGGCCTCCCAACTTTCCCACTTTCAGCAGCACTTTCCTGGTTTATTTTTACTTTTCTACCATCAGGATTTCTCCCCTGGTGTCCTGCGTCAAAAGGCACTATGGAAATATCTCCAGGCAGACAGTTTCAGAAGCACTCACAGAATGGTCTTCGATGCTGGGTCTGGCCAGAGAGGCTGTCAATAGCCCGATGTGCTTAATATCAGGCTGACACAACACCTTACTGGGTGGACCATCCCCTGTCTGTTCGGTATGGGCATAACCAATGACATAGGTTGTGTCACTAGCAATTCCCCCTCCGTCTTGCCTTCCTGTCCCAATTCATTGCCTTCCAATGTTCGGACTACGCTGCACAGTGTAAGTTATATCTTACAATATGATTTTCACTGTACAATGTGATAGCAACCATCTTTCAATATGAGATTTTAAAACATCATTTAATTTGACTGTTGGAACTTCTGTCCTTGGTGATCATCAGAATTACTTGCCATGGCCATGCCATTTCAATTACTGAGAGACATTCCTGATAGACATACAAGGTTTTATAATAACACACACTAAGGGGAATCTAAATCGGAATCATTAATTACCAATCAAATATTGACAACTATTAACTAACATCATGAACAAGCATGTACATACAACATTGGTGACAGTATATAACCAATCATTGATATAAAATGTATCTAGTGGGAGACATTACTAGGGGGGGTCTTCTTAGAATAGGAGGATGTAGGGTTAGGGTCTTCTTAGGACAGGAGAGAACAAAAATGGTCCTGTGCAAAGACTAAGTATGTGATATTCTGGTACGGTCAGATGCAATGTACTAGGCTGTTATTCTTATGATTCAGCCGAACAGAAATTAACCATATCAATCCCTCCCTTTGTTCTGAAAGAATAACTATACATAAGCATATTAAATATAAAATCACTTGAGGTCAATAAGTGGGAATAGGGTCAAAGGTCAATGCATCGAGGCGGTGTGAGTGTAATTGAGAAAAACAAACAGAGGAGTTGGAATTATCACTATACACATAGCCAACATGTCATCAGCTGAAAAAGTCCTTGAAAACAAAAAATGTATAACATGAATCACTTAACAGAATTAATAAGAACATAAATGGAAATTATAATTATTAATTTCAAGATGCCAAAGTATAATATTTCCATTCCCAGTGTAACTAATAAGGAATCAAGACCCAAAGTCCAGTCAAAAAGTCACCCACAAACTTAAATCTTGCTTTCTTGGTCTGTCTTGGACTTCATCGAGCTGTTCTAGGTCATGGTAAACACCACCTGTCTTATCTGTTATGTGTGTAAAGTATTGGTCACCAACTACCTTACGTACCCCCTCCTTATTCTGATAACCGGTAATCTAATGTCATTCTTTTCTGAAGAACAACTGTCGTGATCTAGTCTTTTTACTCAGAATGCTGGCATATAAGGCTACACATGCCCAAATGAACAAGTCGTGCTGAGAAAGAAGCATATGTACAGACAATTAAGCATGTGTACAGACTCCGTTTCAAATAATGTCTTTGAAAATTGGTAACTGACAAGCTCACTTCTGGGAAATCTCAACTTTCCCTCAGAATTGGAGTTGGGGTGGGGACAGTCAGTGCCCGCTCTGACCAATTAAAACATTGTATATGTCCACGAAGCATACAAGTGCAATCTTGGGCTCTTTCTTTCTGCATTTCTTAATACATAGAAAAACTCACATTCTCTCTCTTTCTCACTTGAAGTATTCCATAGCTTCCAAAAATGTAATTCATTCAATTTGGTATTTCTTATCGTAGCTGTGTCTGTGTAGCAACTTGAGTAATTATCCTGCACATTATCAGTTCCTGAACCTTTTAGTTAAAATAGCATTCTTTTAATGCTCACATTCTTTTGCAAAACTTTTTTTTAAACCATACTTTTTTCCATATAACATTTCTAAATTAATTTGCACTTGCTAATATTACTGTCAACATACACACACACACACACACACACACACACATATATATATATATATATATATATATTTTTTTTTTTTTTTTTAACTTCTCATCACAGCTGCATGTTATTTTTCACCCACACTGCACACATTGACTGACTCAGTCTTAGAAATAAAAGGAAGAGAGAATGTTCAGCTGGAAACTTGTGAACAAATACTTGTGGATACACCACCCTAGAAGGCATACTTGTATCTGTGAAGCACAAGAAGTACGACAGTTATGCACTCACTAGGTCAAGGTTTTTTCAAAATCTCGAAATGAGCCCACATTACTGTTCGAGCATACTACTGTCCTTTGTGATCACTAGAATTACCTGCCATGGTCTTACAATTCTATCCAGACCACACCGCATACTACTGTCCTTGGTGATCACTAGCATTACCTGCCATGGTCTTACAATTCTATCCAGACTACACCCTTTCAAGTTCTTGAATACATTCTTAATAGCCATACAAGGGAGTCATTTTAGAAAATGTCACAACAAAGGTTTTATAATAACACACAATAAAGGGGAGTCTAGGGGGATTATCATTAATTATTAATCAAACATTGACAACTATTAACTAACCTCTATTAAGTAACAAACAAGATTGTGCCTACAATATTGGTGAAGGCATATAACCTATAGCATTTATTTTTTAAATCTTAACATAAATAAATAGAATAAATGACATAAGCATATTATTAGTGTCTTTTTAACCCCTTAGTGACCAGACTGCTTTTCAATTTTCTTACCATTTGGGACCAGAGCTGTTTTTACATTTCTGCGGTGTTTGTGTTTAGCTGTAATTTTCCTCTTACTAATTTACTGTACCCACACATATTACATACCGTTTTTTTCTCACCATTAAATGGTCGTTCTAAAGATATGATAGTTTTCATCATATCATGTAATTTACTATAAAAACATTTTTCTAAATTTGACCCTCAAAATCTGTTACACATCTACAACCGCCAAAAAACACCCATGCTACATAGTTTCTAAATTTTGTCCTGAGTTTAGAAATAGCCAATGTTAACATGTTCTTAGCTTTTTATTGAAAAGTTATCAGGCAATAAGTACAAGTAGGACATTGCTGTTTCAAAATATACATTTTTAAAATGTATCAATAGTGACATTGCAACACTGTTATCTGTCATAAATCTCTGAATAACACATGTAAATATTTTTAAAGAAGGCAACCCATGGTATTCAATATGGGGTATGTCCAGTCGTTTTTAGTAACCACTTAGTCACAAACACAGACCAAAGTTAGCATTTATATTTGTTTGTGTGTTAAAAATTGCAAACAACAATTATGAACGCTAATTTTGGCCAGTGTTTGTGACTAAGTGGCTACTAAAAAAGACTGAACATACCCCATTTGCAATACCTTGGGTTGTCTTCTTTAGCAAATGGTATGCCACCATGGGGGTAATTCTCATTCCTGGGCTACCATACGCTCTCAAAAGCAACATAACCAATATGGCAAATTTCAATGTGAAAAAATGGAAAATCAAGTCTTATATTTGACCCTGTCATTTTCAAAAACACTAT